AATATATACTTAATAGAGTCACACCATTATTGAAAATGTGTCTGAAAATGTTCAGATCAAGCTGAAGAAAAGGTTTGGGAGTAGTTTGTGTCTTTATAAAATGTAGTCTGTCTTTTATGGGAGGTGTTCTTGGGTCTGTTTGTGGACCAAACAACCAGCTGAGTATCAGTAGTAATCGCCAAAATCTTAGCTATCACTCTGAGATTGTGTTGTTGCAAATGTGGATGACCTTTCGGTAGACTGCACAGACCACCAATGAATTGTCCAAATGTAACAGGTGTGTTTGGTTCAGGGTTATAATTCACCAAAATACCTAGCTTCAATATTATGTATATTGTTATGGTGTTTCCACATAATGTATGTTCCTACGTGTATTTTATTTTGTAAACTGTCGGGCGTGTCTTGTGATGATGTCACTTCCTTTGAACTAGCTACTCTCCTTAGAGAGGATTTCAATCATTGTCGTCTTGAACTTGCTCTCCCTGGTTTTTTGTCAATATGACAAAATTTTAGATAAGTGCTTGGGAACATAAAAAATGCCTTTAAGGCCAAGGCCCTCCCCCCTCTCTCAAACTCTGACCATTCGACAATCCAGCTGATGCCCACATATAAGACGGTGCTTAAATCCAGTAAGCTCCAACAAAAAACTGTGCTTCAGTGGAATGAGGACAGCATTGAGACCCTGAGAGGATGTTTCTCCTGCACAGACTGGAATGTCTTTCACTGTTTGGAGCTAAACGGGGCTACTGAGACTATTACAGAATACATCAAATTCTGTGTAGACAATGTTGTCCCAAAAAAGGAGGTCAAACATTTCCCCAACAACAAGCCGCACATTACCAAAGAGGTCAAGTCCTGCATCAATAAGAAGAAGCTGGCCTTCATAAATAAGGACCGTATCGGTGTGGTTTCTGCCCAGAAAGAAATCAACTCAATGCTTAAGCAGGCCAGAGAAAAACACAGGGTTAAACTAGAACAGAGCTTTAGCTTTATGGACAGCAAATCTCTGTGGGACTCCATGAAAAGAATAACAAACATGAACTCCAATCAGAAACAGCTCATCACGTCAAACGACCTAGTCAGAGCAAATGAGTTTAATGACTTCTTTCTAAGGTTTGACTCACAGAACACTACCTTGAGGACTGATGAGATCTTGGACACTCTCAATGATTCATCAGATTGTGTGGTGGTGATTGAACCTAATCTTGTACAGTCCATTTTTAGAAATGAAATCCAAGGGCCCTGATGGACTGCCCTCGATCTTACTAAAACACTTTTCTGAAGAGTTAACAGATGCATGGTGCCCCATTTTTAATTTGTCACTTGGAAGTCATACTGTCCCCATGCTGTGGAAGAAGTCAATTGTTGTTCCTATACCTAAGGTATCATGCCCTACAGAAAACAAAGATTTCAGACCGATAGCCTTAACTTGTGGAGTCATGAAGTGTTTTGAGAGGGCAATCTTAAGCTTGATAAAACCTGTGATTTCTCCTTGTCTTGATCCCCTCCAGTTCGCATACAGGAAGGGAAGAAGCACTGTGGACGCTGTAACCTGTGTATCTCACTTAGTTAGTAAGCACCTGGAAGACCCCAAAGCTTATGCACGGGTTTTATTCACAGATTTTAGCTCTGCTTTTGATACTGTCTGCCCCACTCTTCTTGTGCAGAAGCATACTGACATGAATGTAAACCTTTCAATGACAAAATGGTTCTATTCGCTCTTAACTAACAGGTCACAGCAAGTCAATGTAAATGGCACACTTTCTGAGGTGAAATACTTCAGTACTGGAGTACCCCAGGGAGCCGTAAGCTCACCTTTTCTTGTTTACTCTGTACACAAATGAGTGCCGAAGCAGTAACCACAAAAATCATGTAATCAAATTTTCAGATGATACAATCATCCTAAGCCTGTTACACGTGGATAACTGCCCATCAGTCTATTACAATAATAATAATAGTAATAATAGATTTTATTTGTAACGCACTTTACATTTAAAAACAAATCTCAAAGTGCACAACAAGACAACAATAACAGTCAAAACCAAGCAACAGGGCAAAACAATAAAAACAGTCAGCAGATAAAGTCAGATAAAATTGGTCCGGGTAGGCTTTCCGAAAGAGGAAGGTTTTGAGTCCTTTTTCAAAGGCATCCACCAACTGTGGAGCCCTGAGGTGGTCGGGGAGGGTGTTCCACAGACGGGGAGCAGCAGTCTCGAAGGCCCTGTCACCCATGGTCTTGAGCCGAGTCCTGGGCAGGTGCAGACGGTACAGTTGGCCTGACCGGGTCCTGGCTGAGGTCTGTGGGGTGAGGAGTTCGGTGAGGTAGGTGGGGGCTGCACCGTGCAGACAGTGATGGGTGTGAAGGAGGATTTTGAATTCAATGCGGAGGTGAACGGGGAGCCAGTGCAGAGTGCGAAGGATGGGGGTGATCTGCTCATGTTTACGCACTTTCATCAGGACCCAGGTGGCGCTGATTTGGACATGTTGGAGCCTTTGTAAGCTCTTGCCCGGGATCCCGATGAGAAGCGCGTTACAGTAGTCCAGCCTGGAGGAGACAAAGGCATGGACGAGTCTCTCTGCTGCAGGACGAGAGAGAAATGGCCGGAGTTTGGCGATATTACGGAGGTGAAAGAAGGAAGTCTTGCAGATATGGTTGATGTGATAGTCAAAGCTAAGATGGGGGTCAAACCTGACTCCCAAGTTAGTCACAGAAGGAGAGAGGGAAAAGTTGTGGCCGAGAGAAGAGACGGATGAAAAGTGGGTAGAACGGAGCTGGTGGGGAGTACCGATGTGAATGGCTTCTGTTTTGGAGCTGTTCAGCTGTAAGAAGTTTTCACTCATCCAAGCCTTTATCTCCTCCAGGCAGGAGTCCAGTTGGGTGACAGAGGAGGGGGGAGTGGAGGAGGGGGTGACCTTAAGGTAGAGTTGTGTGCAGTCAGCATAGCAATGGAATTGTATTCCATGCCTGCTGACGACACGACCAAGGGGGAGCATGTTGATGGTGAAGAGGGTTGGACCGAGCACAGAGCCCTGGGGGACCCCACAGACAACAGTGAGGGGGCGGGATTTAGCATCCCCCAGGGCCACGAACTCGGTCCTTCCCGTGAGGTAGGAGTGAAACCATTGAAGGGCGGTGCCAGAGATACCAATGTCGTGATGGAGGCGATGAAGGAGGATGTGGTGATAAACAGTATCAAATGCAGCAGAGAGGTCGAGAAGGATGAGGAGAGAAGTGGAGCCGGATTCAGAGGTCATCAGGAGGTCATTGGTGACTCTGATGAGAGCTGTCTCAGTGCTGTGGGAGGGACGAAAGCCGGATTGGAATTTTTCATATAGCCTGTTTGATTTAAGATGGTTGTGAAGTTGGATGGATACAATTCTTTCGAGAGTTTTGGAGATGAAGGGGAGATTGGAGATAGGTCTGTAGTTTGACAGAGAGCTAGGATCAAGAGTGGGTTTTTTGAGGAGGGGCTTGATAATAGCTGTTTTGAGGCTGACCGAACATGGCCGGTTTGAAGAGAGAGATTTATTATGTTTGTTATTAGTTGACTGATGGAATGACAGTGAGCTTTAAGCAGAGGGGAGGGAAAGGGGTCGAGGGAGCATGTGGACGGTTTGGATTTACTTATTATTTTTTCGACCTCCTGCTGCACTGTGGGGGTGACTTGAGACAGGTGTTGTGTGGTGGGAGCAATGTCACTTGACGGGATAGAACTGTTGGCGGAGGAGAGAGATGCGTGGATATTGTGTATTTTGGAGGTAAAAAAATCCATGAATTTGTTGCACTGGGTGACTGTTTGGTTGTGGTGTGGTGAGGTCTGAGGTTTGAGAAGGTGTTTGACTGTGGTGAAGAGTTGTTTGGAGTTACCTGGGTTATTGTTAATGATGTTGGAGTAGTGTGCTGACCTGGCCTTGGAGAGTTCATTGGCATATCTCCGACGATGTTCCTGGTAGGCCAACTTATGCACCGTCAGCCCAGATGTGACAGAGGCCCGCTCCAGGACTCGGCCAGTCCTTTTCAGTAGTCTCAGCTCCTCTGTGAACCAGGGGGTGGAATGGGTGAAGGTGACTGTCCTGGTTTTTAGAGAAGCATGAAAGTCGAGGATAGAGTGAAGATTGTGGTTGTAGTAGTCCATGAGATCAGTAAGTGATGTGTTTGGAGGAGGAGAGAGGAGCTGGAGATGCTGACTGAGGGAGGTGGAGTCAATGTTCTTGAAATTTCTGAATGATATAAGGCGCTGTGGTTTGGTGAGGGGGGAGGGTAGAGGGGTCCTGAAGGTGACTGCATAATGGTCTGAAATGCCAATGTCCTGGACGTGAAGGTCTGAGATGTGGATGGAATCTGTGATGACCAGGTCCAGTGTGTGGCCCTTTGTGTGGGTGGGTCCAACAACGGATTGGTGGAGATTGAGGCAGTCCAGAACCTGTTTAAATTCAGCAGCCAGTTTGCAGGAGAGTGAGTCCATGTGAATGTTTAAGTCCCCCAGAACCAGAATGTTTGAGTGTGAAGTGCAAAGTGAGATGAGAAAGTCATGAATTTCAGAGAGGAATGATGGATGTGGTTTGGGGGGGCAATAAATGAGTGCTATGGTTGCAGAGGTGGTGTTATGCGATGTGATGTGTTTGCAATTAAAAACCAGATGTTCAAAAGTGTTGAAGGGTGGGGCAGACAGTAGAGAGGTTTGAATGGCACTGCGGTGAAAAACAGTGAGGCCACCCCCCCGACCGGTAGTCCGGGCCTTGCTGAGGTAGCTGTACCCAGGTGGACAGGCCTCATTTAGGGCAGAGTAGACCTCAGGCTGTTGCCAGGTCTCTGTAAGACAGAGAATGTCAATTTCCTTGTCTGTGATGTGGTCGTTGATGAGTCCAGCTTTGTTTGTGAGTGACTGAACATTGAGTAATTCCAGTGTGGAATGGCTTGCGGAGTCCGGTCCATTAAGGGGGAGCGGGATGCTGTAATCCACTCCGGGTTTTCTGTCCGGCCATACGCGCTCCTGTCTTTAGCGACTGTAGTTGCGGTGTTCTGATGACGCCATTGTTGTGCGACCAGCCGACCAGAGGGATGTAATGGATCGGTGACAGTTATCAAGATCGTCGTGTTTGGACAGAACAAACCGGCGACCAGATCCTCTGTGGATGTAGCGGGGTCGGTGAGGTAGTTGGAGTTGACCAGAGGGAGTGCTGATGTGATGGAAGCTCCGAAGCGGTGCAGAGATGACGATGGAGTAGCCTGGAGTGTCGGTGTTAGCCATTAGCCAGGATCCCGGCGAGCGATGATGGATGGCAGCCGCACAACCCAGAAATGTCCAGAGCCTCCACAGAGATGGCAGCCCACATGCAGACATCAGTTTGAGGGAAGATGACATGCAGAAGCCGGGGAGATTGGCTAGACGGCGAGAGGTCGATATAACAAGGGCTAGCTGCAGTCAAGCAGCTAGCACCGAGAAGGGGCACCAGGCTTGCTAGGCACCACACAGACGACTCCCGGCCGGTTTGTGCAATACCAAAGACACAATCCGGGGAAAATCAAGAACCCAGAGTTTAGTGTAACCACAACCTAGCTGTGGAGGGTGGAATTTGTGGGGGTTTAGAGTCAACAGGTCAACAGGTATGGAGAAGCGGTGAACAGTCAACACCAGCGTCCTCTCCAGCCTGAGATGAGATTGACTCTTTTAAAGACTGGTGTAAGATGCATCACCTCATCCTCAATACCACTAAAACTAAAGAGATGATCTTTGATCCTAGGGAGGTGAGAGAGCATGACTGTGTGACTATTAACGACTGTAAAATTGAGCAGGTGGGATCTTCTAAGTACTTGGGCATACATATCGATAACCTACTTTAATGGCATGTGCACATTGATGTTTTATGCACTAAACTAGCCCAGAGACTGCACTTTCCTTGCCGATTAAGGCTGTTTGGTGTGAGTACCAGGGTCATGATCATTTTCTATAATGCTGTTTTGGGAAGTTTGACCAGATATGGAATGGCAGCCTGGTTTGGTTCTCTCACAGTCCAGTGCAAGTCGAGGTTAGAAAAGCAGGTAAAAACAGCTATGAAAATAATAGGCACCAAGGATTACCCGACCCTCCAGTCAATTTTCGAAGGTACAGTAGTAAATCTGGCACATAGCATTTTAAATGATCCTTCACATATTCTGTATACAGAATATGAATTATTGCCCACGGAGAGAAGATACAGAGCAAGCAGATACAAAAGCAATCGCTACAAGCTCTCTTTCCTCCCAACTTCCATCCACCTCTTGAACAAACTACCTGCTATATCTCATTGGGAAGTTTTTTGTTTCGTTCATCATGTAGTTGACAATGCAACCTTTCAGTCATGCTGACATTTTTCTACTGCTCAGTCTATACACTAAAATAGAATCTATACAGACTACAGCTGAGAATGCCAGCAGTATTTTTGCCTATCCCTTGTCCTTTTTTGCAGTCAATGGTCCAAACTCTGTGCTGAAGTCAATCAATCAATCAATCAATCAACTTTATTTCTAAAGCACATTTAAAAGAACCACAAAGGTAGCCAAAGTGCTGTACAATGACACATAAAACAAATAAAACAATCAAAGAACAAGATAAAGCGAGCAGAAATACATTAATGCAAAAGAATAAATAAGTATATAAATAAGCAGGCTCACGACAAGTGCTAAGATGATAAAAAACAAAAGAACACTACGATGTATTAAAAGCCAAGGAGTAGAAGTCCATTTTAAGCCTGGACTGCTGCACAGACTGAACAAATGCTGTGTTTTTCTTTCTTTGGGTTTGTGCTGTGACCCATCAATATTACAGCTTCATCATAATGCTTATTCAAAAGTGTAAAGATGTAGTGCCAAACACTACAGAAGAATCTGTTTCGGAGTGTCGTCTCATAGTTGCTGTGTCTCCCTGAGGATCTTGATCTGATATTTCTCGTCTGTTATGCAACAGTGTTTTGCATTTACTGTGGTGTAGTTTTCTTGGAGGAAGGTTAACCATACAATACATTTTCATCAGAGGCCGGGGTGGGATAAAACCAATTACAGTATATAAGTCAAAACATAGTTTTTCCTCCTGTTGACTTTACATTGAAAGTTTTGGCAGGAAGCACTTTGGGAGAAGAAAACTGAAGAGAAAGTATGTGTGTGCTTGCATCTCGATTACAGCTTGACTGAAGGAAATTGCCTCAGACAGTCCTCACACATCTTTTGTCAAACATGGTTTTCTGTCTCTAACTGCTGGGTGCTTACACTGAACCTCAGAGTGCGATGTGAAATTTTTGTGTGTGTATATGAAGTTTTCACTAACATCTGTGTTGTAAAGACGCACATTTCTGAGGAGGACACAGTTTCATTAACATGTCTTAACACCGCACAAAAAAATGGGTGGACATCTTCTGTTGCTGTTTGAGGAAAAAGCTTGACAGTGTGACAGAAACCTCTGAAAATCTGTCAAATCAAGACCAGCACACATGCCCACGCACACTAGTGATGGGAAGAGCAGTTCTTTTGACTGTACTGAATCTTTATAATCTGTTCATTAAAACGATTCGTTCAAAAGTTTCATTCACTGAATCAGTCAGTGCTTCGGAGCCCCATCCTGCCGGTGCAGTACACAAGTGAGTGGCATAGCCGCAAGTTTGTTCATTGCAGGAGCCCCTCCTCTCCCCTGCTGCTGAAGTCACAGCGTCGTTCACTGGGTGACACATGTCAATTATTCGCCAAGTCCTGAAGGAAGAATCACACCCCTGCCCTGAAAAACTCCCCTCTCTGTGTATCACTGTCAGCGGAAACAACACAGCAGCAAGCAACACGCCTGCTGAACAAGCGCGAGCTGTCATTCTTTTATACCGCTGAAAAGTGGAGGGATCAAAAATAAATCAACAACGCAGCTGTAGCAGGGATTCTGCTACGTTTAAAGATATCAAATAGTGTATTGCTTTAAATCGGCTGAAATTAAATCCTTCTTGCAGTAAAGTTTATACACGTGTATTAATGTAAAGGCACTATAATGCACTGTTTTATCTTAGCCTCAGTGAATAAACCGGTGTTCAGCAGTAAGTAAACGACACTACATCCCTCCCTCCTCTGCCTGGATCAAGTCATTGGGAAGTTGTTTGTTTCGTTCATCATGTAGTTCACAAACTGACTGAATCATTCTGTTCACATATTGATACATGTCATTCACAGATGTTTCATTCACTGACTGATACATGTCGTTCACAGGCATTTTGTTCACTGGCTGATATAATTCATTTGCTGTGAGTGAATCACAAGACTCCGCCCGCCTGCTTGCTCCCTGGCTGGCTGTGTGTCGTTCGCAGCAGCAGTTCCACTCCCGACCAACATGCCAGGCTCGCGGCTGAGCTCAACAGAACTGAAAAAGGAACGAATCAGGTCTCGGAGTGATTCAGTTCACGTCGTTCACTCAGCAGTTCCGTTCTTTTGTACGAAACATTCATGAACGACACAACACTAACGCACACAGAGTATTAAGCTTAGGTGTCTTAAAGGAATGTGAAAATACACACACACACACACACACACACACACACACACACACACACACAGCTATGAAAATATGTCTGAAACCGCTGGGAAAAGTCCCAGTTTCAGGGCAGTTTCCCATGTACCTTTGCACATATTCGCACATACACACTTGATGCACAAATTCCCTTTCACAGATCAGTTTACTAATGGATACGCGTTAAGTGCCAGATGAACTTGACTGGACTTGCCTTAAGGGGGGCTTAAATGTGTTTTCTTAACCGAGTGTGTGTGTGTGTGTGTGTGTGTGTGTGTGTGTGTGTGTGTGTGTCAAACACTGAGGTCATTGAGCTTTTCTTTTCTCGTCCTCTCATTCTTTTTTAAAACTCTCACTTCATGTGTAATCCTGCCCATCCTTACATTCTGACGTTGATGCAATTTGCAAATGTGTTATCATGTTGGGCTTTTGCACATTGGGACAATTACCTCACATTGAAGGCAACATAATCCCCCCATCACTACAAGGCTGGTCACTGAATGAGCAGAAAGACCTGGTCAACACCCTGTTGGTCAAACAGTTTGCATGCTGAACTGTCTTTATTGCTCCGAAAGTGCCTCAGCAGTAATGATACCATGCACAGCTATCCATGTAAGGCATGCTTTCCACTGATTTTAGCCTAGGTGCTGCAAAAAAAACAACAAAAAACAAAAATTTAAGATGAATTTTATCCTAACATTTGCATTACAAAGAGAAAGGCACAAAGAGTTGATTATTTTCAAAGACTAAGTGTAGACAGAAAAGCTTAGATTTGTGCGCAAAGTCATTTACAAAAATCTGTGAAACCCATGGAGGGTAGTACCTGCCAAATTCTGAAGATGTGCCACCTAGTGAGTACAGTATCACTGTTTATTTAAAACATGAATGTGTCACAAAGATTAGAAATGTTGATGTCAGTCAATTTCTATGAGGAAGCAGTAGAAGGTGGAGCTGAGCCGCCCAGCAAACAGCTAGAATACATCCACACCTCAGTGGGTATTTAACCATTCATTCAATACATCTGACTGCATTATCCAGGACATCCAGGTATTTTAAGTAATGTTTCCCCCCTCATGTTCAATGAAGTTAAGTAAGTCAAGTCTACTAACTGTTGTTATCTGCAAAGTTTGCAAAATGTTTTTCAGCAGTTTTCAGCAGAGCCATAAAAGGGTGCTGAAGTGAAGGTTGCATGGGTCTAGATAATCAATATCATCTGAAAATATGCATAGAAAAATTGTGCACCTTTTTTTTTTTTAATTTTCCTATTTGTGTTTATCTATTTAAGTCGTAAAATTGGGATACAAAGTCCACAAAAAGTACAGGACATAATTTGAATATCAAACAGAAACAAATACAAATGAAACAATACAAAAGAGACAAAGACAGATACATACAAAAAGAAATAGTTGTTGCAGAAGACGTCACCTGAAGAGCAGCATAAAACTATTCATAAAGCGTCCTCATTCAGAAATACTTTATAAACCAATGCACATTACATGGAACTATTCTTCTTTGGGGGATATTTCTAATTAGGGGCCTTTTTTAATAATATTCTCGCACCTTATCTGATATCTTGCTTTTAAAACAAAAAAATAAAAACATTAATAAATTGTGACTTAAAAGTTAAAAAAAGGGACAAATTACAGGCAGTTAAAAAACGAATCACAAAAGCCAGTCAAAGCACTCTTTTGTCTATTTTGAAGTTGTTTTTTGTGAGAAAGATGCAGGTGCTTAAAAAAAGTGCATCAGTAAGCACCATTAACATGAAATAAAGACAACATCCAGCTGTCACATATTGACTTTTTCAGTGCATTTTTGGGAGGAGATTGTGAGAGTCTGGGGAGCAA